GTGAGGGGGCGTGTTGAGATATATAGTCCCACATTGATTAGATGGGCAACTAATATGGCCTTTATAAGGCCTTGGGCACTCTCACCCTTTGAGCTAGCTTTTGGGGTGGTGTATCCCAAGATTCTTTACATGATGTCATTAGGCCATTATATAATGAAGGCTCAAAGCCTATCATCTTATGTATCATAACTCAAGTTCAATAATCAAATGTTGACTTGACATCGGAGGTGCTACCTTCCCCACATAACCATCCACAAAAGTATCCCACGCTAAGGATCATCCCACTGAAGACTCATCTCAAACTTCAACTAGACCAGACTCAATCGCATATGGTGAGTCCCAAAATTCTTGAACTAATCAAATATTAGTAGTGTAATTGGTGTTTATCAATGTATGTGAGTATTTATTTGGTAGTATGGCTCTTTGTTAGTGGTATAATGGTAAAGAATATGAAGGATTTCCTTTTCTAATAACTGATATGTGTTCCAATAATTTAGAATTTTATCTCTTTAACACCTCAGACACAAAGCATTGCTTCAAGCAAAGGCAAAAAGAAAGTGAAAAAATAAAACTGAAAACGTTTTACGTTGAATCGTTGCCATTAGCCTAATGAAAAATATACACACCTACACAAGAGTGAAAGATGTTTGTACAAGTATACATAACAAGATGGACTAGGATCGAACAGCTTGAAAGATCTAAATTTCAAGAAACTCCAGAAATTAGAGGTTTGCAGTTTCTGCTTGGAACATCAAACCACAACAGAAATATTTTTACTTCTGACGACATGAAGAAACTAACACAGTTGAAGCGTAAAGACAAGTTTTAAATTGGGTTCTTATACGAGGTAATAAAACGAAAACTACACCCATAAATGCTTTTTTATAAATGGGTGCATATATTATTGTTGTTGCCGTATCAAATCCAGATAGCTCCGCTTGGCTCTTTTTTCTATTTTAATTTTAGGTTTATGGGTAAAGATGCTCTGAAATACCGATTTATTTTAAGAGAGTAAAAATTAGAACAATCACTAAAGCAAAAATCAATATTGATTTTTTAAAATATATACATATTAAGCAGTATAATAACTTGAGTTTGTTTAAGTTCACTCAATTTTTTCATCACTAACTTTGACACAACAGAATTATCGCCACATTACTGAACAATAAGTTATGGGATTTATACACCAGAATCACACATCTATGAGTTGTTATCATCACCTTCATTGGGACAGTGCATCTGCTTACACATTGCATACACACCATTTAGGCTGGCAGACAGAGTTGTTCGAGTCTGCGGAATCACGGCATGCAAATTAAAATCTGCCATTGCCACCTTCACTAGTGTAAATGGTTCGGACAAAGAGTTGTATAAGATTTTCTCCAGTATAAGATGTCACCTCGGAGGAGCCGTTTGTACCAGATCCTCATTTTTTTTCTTTCTATCCACTTGGCTAAGCAATTTTAAAATTCTAACTATCCAAACAATGAGAGACCGTGGAACATTGTCAAGTACGGCCTCAACACATGGTCTCGGGCGTGTCAACACAAATACAACGAGGGAATAAAAAAGGTGTTAGATGGAGCAACAGCCATTTATATTGGACACTGTCACAGTTCATGGACCATGAGAATTGACAAATGCTGGATTATAACATTTTGAAATTTTCTTTATATTGTATAAATGAAATTATGAACATATATATATATAATGCATGTCTGCATTCATGCATGTGAAACAAATTCATAGGTAATCTGAATCAATCCACCAAGAAGTCCAATCAAGCTGTGGCCGGAATTCAATCCCAATGTCTAAGATAGACAAGGTTCGTCAAGTTCAAAGAAGTGCAGCTCACTCATCAGCAACCCCCTTACAGAACTGTTGTGGCTCTCTGCTTACCAAGAAAATAATATTAATCAGAATCTGGGCTCCTCCACACTCGCAGTTGAAGTAACTAATTTTTAAGTTATCCGGGAATAAATCCTCAACAGTTGACGCAAACCACCTAGAAGCCCACAGATGCAATATTTGGGCATGAGCATACTAGAAAGATGGTACCTGTTACCGTATAAACCTGCTGGATCCTTAGAAACATCAGAGTCAGATTTCAGACATTACAAATATTAAATACTTTCTTAGTAGCCATATTCCAAATAAGTTCCAACATGCATTGGTTGTCTATCCATACTCATCACATCATATTCATACCATGACTTACCTTGGTGTAAAAATGTGCCAAAAAACATTTCAAGATATCATCAAGAAGTTCGAGTTCAAAAGTTTAGCACGAACTTACAAGATGGATCTCATGCAAAAATCATGATGCTGTTTGGCCATTCCAAAGATAGCACAATTGCACAGCAGAGATAAAATTAGAAAAGCAAATTAGTATAAGTTACTAGTTAGAATAATACGGATACAAGAATGAATAAATAAGTCCTCTAAGGAAAGGCATTAAATTTCAAAAACTAAATACTCCTATAATATCAAGGACCATAGACAAACGCCTTCTAGCTTCGGCCTCACACCAACCACGGTGCTTCTGCATGATGTAAATACATAGAGAGCAGATTTTATTCAGCAAGCAAGAAAGACAATATATTCATCATAAATCTCAGTTCTTCCAAACGTATGAAATCCACCGGGTAATTATTCCAGGGTTATCACACTGGGACAGAAACAAAACAACCAGAAGCCAGAAATGATTTCAATAACAAGTAGGAAGCAAAAGGCAATCAAAATAACTTTTAGATTACAAATAAAACAAAATCCATCTGTGACATTTCACGTTTTAGACCTTTTACTTTATTTGAGCTTTAACAGAACAAAAACAAAGCCATTTCAAACTTGTCATTAGACTCCTAAAATCAGGAATCGAATGGTAGATATAAATTTGTGCATCAAAATATGATGAACAGGCGACATGCTATTTCAAGTTTTAAACCATTGATCAATCCATGTGCAAAAGAACTCCATTCCCTCTCCAAAAAAACTGGAGAAAACAGATAAACAATAATTTCATTGTGAAGAGATCACCGATAACAAAAATGAAGGAACTAATAAGGATGTTGAACACATATGGGGTCCTATAAAGCCTTTACAAACATCCTTTGTAATAAGTACCTTATGAAGAAAGTTCGAATCATAAACCAATTAAAGCTGCCCAGCCCAACTCAAAGAAAACATGCATTAAAAGTTAACACTTGATTCCATAATCATCTCTAGTAACGTACAAAATGCATTTTCTGTAATCAATAGGTATTGCCGTATTGGCATAAATGGCATCCATTCAACAAAAGTCAGTGCCAGAACAAAGTTCTGCGTTGTGTACTTTAAATTCTTCCCTCTCATTTTTCCTTTTTCTTTCATGAGAGAATCTACACAAATCAATTATCACCATAGTATACATATGAATCATGTTTATCCTTATAACAGCTCAAGAGCTCTTAAAAGGCTCAAGAATAAAAAAATGAATCTTCTGGCATAGGAAATTTCAAAGAAAATTTTCTTGAGTCATATATATCAATCACAAATGAAAAAATCTGCAATTGTTTATTATAAGAAAACCCAAAGAGCCTAAACAACCTTGAACGTTAATGAAGTCCCAAAGAAATGGCAAGGCCATCTCCTCTTGTAGCAACCAAATCAGCTTACTTGTAACCATTTTCCTTGTTGTAGTCTTGTAGAAGGTAAAAAAAATACTTATATAATGCAATGTCCAATAGCCTCGAATCTGGAATCCAGAGGAAGTTTGATATTGAAATCCAAGTGTGCTCCCCAAGTTCACAGCAACCAGAAATATCTCAATATCCCATGTACAAAAGTTGTTCATGACAACAATAAACTCATGAAGACTGAAAAGAATAAAATCAAGATATGAAAAAGCCGCTCTCAGCTTATATTATTTTACTCCTAGATAGCGAATTAAATCAGACAAACATCCATGAACACCTTTCACAACTACCTGACTACAACCATTTACCCCTGAAATGTGAAAAGCTTAAACACTGACATAACCCTCCAGAACAAATGAAGCGAAGAAATCAAAAGCACAATGCAGGTGAGATTTACAGATATTATCAAATCAATTTTTAGTTCAGCAACAAGCAATTCACCGCAGAAGTTGAAATATAAGACTTCAATGAGTTATATACCTACCAGTAGCAATTACACATAGTACCATTAACAGCAGTTGGACAAATAAAAGGCAGACAACTATGTTGTTTCCAATTTCCAACCAATACCAAAGGAGAATGTAAACTATAGATCATGATACCATTCTCCTGGAAGTGGAGACATGGAGAAAGTGAATAAATTGAAGTTTCAATCAGATCATTGAATATTTAGTTACAATGGGTTTCAAAAGTAAGGATAACCAAATATTCTTCAGCATACTTTACATTTGTTTCAATAAAGGTTGCAGGAACCATGACCACAGATTAAAAAGAAAAAAGAAAAAAATAAGTTCTTATTGCTCTTTAAATTGTAAAATAAAGGTTCATCAAACTAGTCAAAACTCCAATTGTTCAACATTCTTTTGATTTTGATATATAGTTCAACCTACCGGTAGAAATAGTACTAATTCATAATTTAACCAACCATCCATGCTAGGCTCTTCAACTATATAGTTTTTAAAACCCAATGATAGAAGTCACCCAAATAAACTCTAAAACAAAATGGAGACAACTAACAGGGGGTATCCCTTATCCTTATCTTTAGACAGAAGTAGCTTGACATTTTGAAGCTGAATCAATAAACATGCACCAAGGGCAGTTTCAACATAATCGTTTCTAATAGATATTAAATTACTGCTATAATATTAGTGAATAGGTGGGAGATGCAAAATTTTCCCTCTGTTCAGAACTCAGGCTTGTAAATACCACCTAAGCAAAAACCATATTCTAACTGCATGTATTAACAGATCCTTAGTGAATAAGTGCAGTGCTACCTCATCCTATATTACGTTCATTAAGATCAACGCAGTGGCATTAGAAGCAAAAAGAATTAATAATTCCTAATCATATTGATAAGGCAGAAATGTGTACACTTTTTACTCAATGTTGGAAAAAGAAACCTAAAGGAAATTGATATTTGATGACATGGGAAACATCAGAAAGCCTCTAAACCATACAAGACACCAGCACACTGGACTAGCAAATCTGATTCGCCAAAATAAACCTCTCTGATATTCTGAAATGCGTGCAAAGTAAGCAAGCTATCCGAACCGGCTTGATGACTTTTACCAACAACCCTTTCCACGTTCAGGGACCGGCAGACCCGGTCCAACCCACCATGAAGATTCGAGCAGTACCTCGTAAGGTGTTTCACATCAAAAACCCTGTCCCCGAAAAACACCCTCACGAGACGGAGGAACTCCACCAACTCCTCCGGCAAAGCGCGCCGCGTCAGCAACTTCACCAGGTACCCGAAATCATAAGCACTGTGAAACGTTACCCAGCTCACGGAACCGTCGCAGACGAGACCCGAAGACATCATCAACTCGGCGAAGCGGAACGAGTCGATCCCGAACACGCGGTTCTTCTCGAAATTGATGCCCTGGCGCCTCAGCAACTCGACCGAGTCATGAGCGTGGGCATCGCGCGCCACGTCGAAGTCTCTGAAGTTGAATTCCCATATGAAGGAGTCGGAGGTGCCGAGTGTGGGAAGGTTGCCATTGTGGTCGGAGAGAGTGAGGCCGATCTGAATAAGGTGCAAGCGATCCACGTTGGCTTTGAGGACGGCGTAATGAGCGGCGGGTTGGTGGTAACTGAAGGAAGGATCGGCGGTGTCGTGGCGGACGACGACGCCGGGGAATTCGGTGTCCATGGAGATGAGAGGGTAGGAGTCGATGACGGATCGGATCAATTGGAACTCGTATTCCAGATTGGAGGACCACACTGATCTGGTGTGGATGGATACATGGGATTGATGAGAATGGGGCATGGCTTTGGGTTTTTTCTGAGAGCTATATGCTTGGTGAAGCAAATCGAATCAGTTTGCTAAATTTATAAGTCTCAGAAACTCGATCCCATGGGGCGCTCCGGAGGCCACGATTTAGGGTTTGGACGAAGAAGAGATTCGCAGTAGAAGAAGAAAAGCCAGTTTTATCTACAACTTTATAAAAGTTTAAGAATGGCAATAGAAAAGGTTCTCTCTCCTCCAAAGCCCTTTTTTTTCTTTTTTCTTTTTTCTTTTTAAATAAAGATAAAGAATAATAAGAGTCCCGAATAATTAATTGCCATTTGGTTTGCACTTGTAAAGCTAGTTAGGTTAATGGACTATACATGTATATATATGTATGTATAATTAAATATAAATATAAATATTATTTCTCATTTAAACAAAGGAAAAGCTTTTAGAATAAAAAATATTCCTAATTTTTTTAATCAATAATATTTATATCTCTTTGTTAACTTCAAATAACACTGTTAAATTTTATTATATTGTGATTTTATTTGTCTTTCAATTGTCTAAACACACATAACACCAACTACGGGTGAAAGTGGGTCGGACCAGCCTACTGGGACTTACGACCTAGCCTATATCAGGTTGCGTTTGACCTATTATATATAGTCAAATAGAACAGACTCATCTGGGGAGGGGCATAAGTATCGTAATCCTTGGACTCGCACCCGAACTCTGATTAGTCTCATAGGCGGCTCAAAAAGTCGAACCCATGGGGTTCTGATTCGCCTGGGTTCTGATTCGTCTCAAAGAGGTAATTAGGATGAGTTTCCAAAAAAATAAAACAGACTCATGCTTTTAAAGAAGCCTGTTTAGAAAAGTAGGTGATATACTTTTTTTTTTTACATGTCGGGCCTATAAGCCTAATGGCCGGCCTATATCATATTATTTATTTTAAATTAAATTAAATTAAATAATATTATTTATAGTAGTACCAAATGGTGATAGTTCAGTTGGTGCATGTGAGCTTAGTAGGTGGTGGAAGGACTTAGGTTTGTTCCCTCACTAATACTATATTTGAGAGTGACATAAAATCTGTATCAATCTCTACAGTATCATCATAATCAACATTTAGTGCTGGAGGAAGAGTTATTAATGTCTATCGTTCTAACTTGGCTAAAGATATCATCCATGATTTAATATACGATGAAGATTGGCTACGTAATATGTATGACTTGAAGAAAAAACAAAAGGTATAAATTTAATCAATTGAAATTATTTTATAATTTAATTATATTCGATTAAATTTAATAGAAATTTGATTGTTTTTTATGTAGGAGGAACCAACATCTCAGCATGTGAGATTGTCTATATAGATCTATTAAAAGATTTTTTGTTTCTTAATTATTTTTTTTTCTATTCTTTATTCTTGTTTTTTGTTTTCTACATTTACAAATTGTTTGCCAACTTATGTAATCTTGGAATTGTATTTGTAGGGGAGAGAAGATGAAGAGAAGTTTTTGGCTACTCCAAGCATCATGATATATTTGTTTGATTCATGTAGTTATTTTAATTTACACAGTATAGATTTGTATCTGATGAAATATATATTATTTAGTTTGAGCATTTTATTTTTGAAAGTGACTTAAATATAGATTGTGATGGATTTTGTTGTGATTCACGGTTTTGTTTGGAAGTTTAAATTGTGATTTTTGTTTGAACAACAAAATTTGAGTATTTTGTGAAATTGATTTATGATTTTGCTTGAAAGTTAAAAATTAATAGGCTAACGAGTCAAGGCATGCCATTTATGTTTATTATAAACGAGCCAAGCCAGACTAACAGTTAGACTCGTACTAGACTCGAGTCAGGCTAAATTAAATTTTTTTGACATAGACTTAAACTTGTCGAAGCAAAGCTCAATTCAGGTCCAGCCTACTTTCACCCCACACCAACGTAGTTTGACTTCTACTTATATTTCCCCCCAATATTATGGTTCCTTCATACAGCAATTCCTGCGTTCCTTTTTCCTCGAAATAATTTCTTATTCAATTATGGGAAATAATTATCTCATGTTGCATGAGATAATTATCTCATGCAATAGAGACAAGATAGTGGGGTCCACTATTTTTCTTTTTTCTTTTTTGAAAAAATAGTGGACCCCACTATCTTGTCTCTGTTGCATGAGATAATTATCTCATGCAACATGAGATCCCTTCAATTATTGTATACAAAGACAACATCTTTATAAAGGAATATAGGAACTTTTGTATAAAGGAATCCTAATATTGGGGAAAAATATAAGTAGAAGTCAAACCATGTAATACAAGGACAATGATTAAAAAATCAGTGATACCTAACGATAAAATTCATAACCATTAATAATGAAGAGGGGAGATATTCTTACTACTAGAAAAATTTACTACCAATCCATTATTTCCATAGTCACTATTGGATCAACATTTTTTCTTTCTTCAAAAACTTTTTAGCATTTTCTCTCTTTGATCCAATGATAATTGTGGAGGTAGTGGGTTGGTAGTGGATATTTCTGGTAGTAAGAATATCTTCCTTCAATAATCAATTATTATAAGTGTAATAATTATTTTTTTTTTTGAAAAAGATTAAAAAAAAAGTAAATGTGCTGGTTATTAAGCTAGTAATTATAATTTTATTAAAGATGTTTAAATATAATAATATATGAGCAATGGGAAAATGATATAAATTTTTTTTATACATGATATAAATTATTTAAATATACTAAGATGAATTAAAATTAATTTCTTTAATAATTAAATAATATATAATTAAATAATATAATAACTTAAAAAATAGTAAAATCAAATCCAATCAAAATTAATTATAACATCAATTCCTTAAGGGAGGGGTGCTTGAGTTATATTTACAAAATAAAATCATAGAATCATATGCTTGTGTAGTGTTAATCATGCAACTCATGACTTCATACTCATAGTTATATATAATTCTTTAAGGTTCATTTTTTCTGCAGTTACTGTAGATAAGTTATCTGCAGTAAGTTTAATATGACGTCATTTTGGGACGAAAATCATGATATTTTTATAATTTTAATTTATTTAAGGGTTATTGTAGTATTTATAATTATAATTTTTTAATATTTCAATCCTAAAACGACGTCATTTTGGGAATAAATGCAGATAATTTATCTGCAGTAACTGCAGATATATTTTTCTGATTCTTTAATCATACAATTATACATAATTAATGATATAATAATTTTGATCATGCAAAATGCATAAACTTGCTAACTGAATGGGTACGTAAGTGTGTTGTTAGAATGTAAATAGAATAACTTCGAAGTAGACTCAAGTGTCAATATAAGTCTCAAGACGAATGAACTACCAAAAGAGAAGGGATTCTTCAAATACTGAAAAGAATCTTTGGGGTCACTAGATAATAAATATGTCGTTTGACTCGGGATTAGTTTCATATATGTGCGAGCCTTTTTTTCTGTATGAGCCGTGGGATTACACTGGGGATCTGACTTGCTTCAAAGAGATAATTAGATTCATGAAATCCAAAAAAAAAATATAAATTGAATGAATACAGTGTACATAAATGTATAAATTATTCTTATTTTGGGGAAAACTAAGGTAGAAGCCAAACTATGTTGCCTTGTGTTTTTAAATCATTGGAAGGCAAAATAATTACAATGTAATAAAATTTAATAGTATTATTTTGAAGTTAATGAAGAGGTACAAGTGTTTTAAATATTAGGACCATTATTGATTAAATAAAAAAGGATTAGGATTATTTTTTTATTCTAAGAAAATATAAGTGACATTTATAAAAAATTTCTTTTAACAAATGAGAGGCTAGTATTTAGGAATAAAATGAGGTCCACAGTATTTTTTCATATACATAAATTTTGGGATCAAATTTAATACTACATATTTAAAGGATCTTGACCAATGTTATTAAAATCAGCTCGGATCGACTCTAGTCAAAATCAACCCAGTCAACCAACAATAAATAAATCACACGCGACAAATTTTGAAACCAACTATTGCTTTCGTATGGTTTATAAAGCTTTGTTCACTTTATATGAAGGCCGATGTAGAACTTCTTTAGAATCTTAAGTACAAGTAAGTTTGAATTTCAGATTCACACCCATCAGCCTTTATCTTAGCAAAGCACTCAAAGCATGATCAATTCTCTCAATGCCACACAAAATGTTGATGAACTGATAGTAAGCCTTCTTACCAAGTGCCCCACCATATCGAGCAGATTTCATCTTATCAATCATTTCATCTCCCTCTTCCGACCTTGTAGCCTGATACAGACTCTTAATCAAAACAACAAAAGTAGTCTCATTGGGATAACATCTTCACTCTCCCTTTCTATGGAACAACCTTAATGCATCCTCTGTCTTCATAATCTCACACAAATTCGTTATCAACACATTGAATGTCTCCACATTCCTAGGAACTCTATGATAATCCATTTCCACCAACACCTTCTCCGAATGAAGCCGAAACAGATCCTTCTCGCAACAGAGCTTGCACACAAGATCAAGCATGGCGTTATAAGCTCCAACGTCAAGCTCAAAACCTCCACGATACATCTCCCCAGCAAGCCTTCGAGCTTCGTCATATTCCCATCAATGGACCAACCTCTGATCAATAAATCACATGTGAACTCGTCTGGGAAGAACACCCTCGCCAAATCCTTCACCATCTTCTCCGTATAACTCCCGAAACCCTTCAAACTCTCAGCTACATCATCATGCAGACAATGTGTGATTTATTATTTTTGGGCACCATTTAAGTAACTTAAGTTTAAGACTTGTGATTTATTATTTTTTATATTATAATATTTGAAACTGATATTATTTTTTATTGATATTTGAGTATGTTTATAATTTTTTTTTAATATAAATTATAAATTTACATATACTTACCGGATCATGCTATTCAATCAGTGATCCAATACCTCGACCGGGTCAATAACCGATTCAGGTTTTACAACATTGATGTTAACTTTTACCAATATAAGGCACATTGACACATTATATATGTTGGGCTTCCTCCTTCAATGCTAAGCCCAAGCCCATTTGAGGGGTTTCCTAAACACCCTAACCCTAATTTCCACCTCCTCTATATATACTCATTACTTGTGGGTGGAGGCTAGGTCAGATTTGAGAGAACAAATTTGAGAGTTATTTGATTGTTTGAGCAAAAGCTTTATGCTTTGCATTTGAGAGATCTCTAGAGAGAGTTTGAGTGAAACATCTCTAGGGTAGTTTGATTATCACCATTGTTGGAGAGGTTGAGTTAACCACCACATTGGTGTATTCGATTATTTGTAACCATTATTTTCATAGTGGATTTCTGATCTGGACTAGGTCCCGTGGGTTTTTACTTCTTCATTGGAGAAGGTTTTCCCACGTTAAATCTGGTTGTGTTCTTCTTCTCTCTCTCCTGTTTTCGTTTTGATTTGTCCGCTGTGCTGCCTGACCTGGTGAAGTTCAGGCCGAGGTATTGCCGAGATCCGAGATCAGGATCTTGTTGATTGACTTCCGCACAAAGGCCCCTGAGCCGAGCTTGAGGGAACCGAGTTTTCCCAACAATATATATACGCACGCCATACTGCAATTATAGATACTTGAGTGTCCGAGTCTAGCTGCACTTCATCATCTTAGTATACATCCTTTTAGACATGAAGGAGCGTCAAAGAAACTGAGCGCGACATCACAATCAATTCGTGTATCTCTTGCGGAACGTACACAACTAGTCATTCAATTTAATTAACTCAACAACTATAGTTTACTTTTTCTTTTATTTTTTGAAATTTTTAAGTGTGATGGGTCTTACATTAGTTTGTAATGGAATAAAGAAAGTTCATATAAGTGAGAAGATCCATGAATCCAATGCCTTAAGGTTTTGACTTGAGGCATGGTATCAGACCCAATTGCTATGGTTAGTATAACTTAGCCATTGATAGTGATCCTCCGCTATGGGCTCTCCGAATCCTGTTTGACTTTGGTATGATAGAGTTGGGTTAGTCTTGAGCTAGCCAGGTGTTTGGCTAGGAGGTGAGTTGAGTACTTTGTGCCTAGGTACTTGGTTAAGGGAGAGCATATTAATGTCGGATGTCACACCTCACACCTAAGGAGAAAATTGTTAAGATTTTCAAGTGTGATGAGTCTTACATTGGTGGGTAATGGGCTAAATGAAGTCCATATAAGTGGGTTTCAAGTGTGATGAGCCCACATTAGTTGGTAATGAGCTAAGTGAAGTCTATATAAATAGAAAGACTCATAAGCTCAATGCCTTAAGATTTTAAGTTGTGGCATAGCATTAGACCCACTGGACACGCCTGACAGTGGTATTATAACTGGATTAGGCTTGAGCTAGCCAGGTGTTTAGCTAGAAGTCGAATTTAGTAATTTGAATTTTGAGCATGAGTACGATTTTGGGTTGATACATAGTAACTTCCTACAATTGGTATAATTTAATATATTAATGGTGGTTTCCCGCACCATGGCCTCCCACCTGACATCATTCAAATTACAAATTACAATTTGTAATTACTAAACAATTAGTAGATAATGTATGGCAAGAAACATTTGAAAAATAAACCACTTTCCCTTTGAAAATATGGGCGTCTACGCTAGAACTTGGCTTTAAATCGAGACAATCAAAATGAAATCATTTTGATGGTCTTTGACTAGGTTACCTGTAGTCACAGCAAGTTCATTGAATCGCTGGTTTTTTTTTTTTTTTTTCGACTTGCCTGATGCTTGTTATGTCAATTGATATTATCACATGAAATGAAACACACGAATGACGCCTGAAGGTGAACCTTTGGTAAAATACAAGCTAGTTATAAGGCAGATAAATAACTGCATATAATCTAGATTGAGAAATTCTTGGTTGAAGATAACAACCATTTTATCCTCAATCTTTTGTAAGAAAAGGAAAAGGATGTTCAGAAAATAGCCATGCTAGATTTTTTTTGTTATAACGAACAAACGCCTAAAAGCATCGTTATAGTTCGAAAGGAATACAACTTCAGGAGTTGCAATTATCCCGTTAATCAGACAGCATCCCTTAAACACAGCTGACAAAGTAAGACAACAAAACAACTCTAAAGCCAAGGAGGGAAAGATGAAGCTTTTTTGGGCATTTCCCTGTATGTTCTTGAATTCAGAAGGATCCAGAGTATTGCATGTTATATATTGCATACTGCAAGTGCAAATGCAATAAGATCCAATATCTGTACGATCTTGGAGACTAGTAGAAGGTACCGTCTGGAGGCTGGACAAGTTTCCGGTTATGTGGAGTTGCCATTTCCTTCTTCAGTTGGGTCAGTATATCCTCCATGGTATACTCTCGTTGCCAATTTGCAAGAAGACTAAATTTCTTTGATTCAACCTGTTTCAATTTTAAATTCTTAAATCTAAGTAAATAAGGTAATTTATTTTCAAGTTTGCAAAATGGACTAAAGATAGAAACTGAAAATATAGATGTGATGAATATATTGAGAGACAAGCTCCAGAAGGCAAAGGAAGACCTGTGAAAATACAGAACAAGTACAAGAAAATAAATGAGCAAGAAAAATATAAATATGGGGTTCCAAAAACCACGCACATCTCACAGATGCATTCAGTCTTGCCCCACCCCACCCCAACACAACAAACAAACTATCATCTTTATCCCACATCTGGTGCAGATCCCCATTCACTCCCTCTCCTCTAGCCTGCCAACTGTCTAACTGCCTCCCCTTATGTCTTCTTTAGTATACAAGTAGACCAACCACCGACATTCCTATACACTTGGGCTAAGGGTGTATCAGCTGAAGATTTTGTTATAATTAAGAGAAGTATGATGGTATGTTTATGAGGCAACCCAGTATTTTTTTTCATCAAAGCAGAATGAAATCAATACATATATTCCCTTCTCAAATGATCACTCTTGAATACATCTCTGCTAGCATATACATCTCAAATACATCACCAACACCAGTTTAGAAATCAAAGTGAAAAACACAGCAGTTTGTGTATATATCCCACTCTCACTAAACAGCACGCGCTGCACAGAAATACATAAAAAGCTGAAACATGAAAAGAATATACCACTCCAAGCTTCATGAATAAGTGAAAATCGCAGCAATTAGCATTGCTATATATCCCACTTTCAGCACAGTATGCACGGCACAGAAATATATAAAAAGCTTAAAGCATGTGAAGAGTTATGAATATACCACTCCAGTTTCATGATTAACACAAGTCATATTGACCCGTGAATGAAACCGAACACTTGGGGGCTTTTCTGGGTAGTCTTGATCGCAAAACAGCTTCAATTGATAAATTTTTCCTTCATGTACAGTCTGTCAAAGAAAATAGAAAAGGCACAATTACTGAACCTGCAAACAGCCTGTTATTTACACAGGAAATAAAAATACAAGTACATTTATCCAAAAAACATATTCTAAGCCCGAACTTCCAATTTTAAGGGTAGATCAATAGTGTTCATAATTCAGATTTCTTTGAAATGGCACAAAGAAGCTACATTATTCAAGTCAAGTAAAAGATTCAGCACATTCTTCGAAGCCCATACATAGCAGACACCTAGATCATTCTACATTTAGAAAGCCTAAAATGCTTCCAATATAATCATAAGATAAATTACAAAAGTGCAATAATATTTCCAACTATAATTTTAATAGCTGTCAAAGTTATGACCTCCAAAGTTAAACAGTGATATAAGTGCACATGTAAAAATATACAGAAATTTGTGCTCATGTACTCTAACCTAACTCTAAAAGTGGACACAAACTTGAATTTCGTGCTGGTTTACACACAGAGCTATGTTCAAGGAAGCATGTAACATACACTCAGCTATAAACACTTGCTTGGTTGTAATCACCTGGAAGTAAGAACTTCATTTCAGAATGCATAACTTCCATTCTTGAAATGGTTCTTATAAATTCAAATTAATCGCTGCATGGGATTTCCTTTGTTCAAATAAAATACAGCTCATTAAACATACACATACATAAAAATAAATTCAGGGCGGTGCCAGAGAAACATTTACATTATGGGGGCCAATAATGGTACCAGTCCAAAAGCGCATGTAAATGTCATCACCATCGTCCATTCCATAGCTAACTGTGCCATCTCCAATCCCTTTTTCTCCCCTTTCAAGTTCCTCCAGCAATCTGAAGTTCCTCGGTACTGCATTGAAGCACAAATAATTTAACTACGCACTCATCCACTAATCACTTTATGTTCAATACATGTCAAAATGGCTACATATATAATCCCTCCTCCAAATTTTAGTCACGCCCACTTTAAAGTCCTAAACTCAAGGACCAGAGCCAGAGAAAGTATGCCACATTTGAACTGTAATATCATTCTTCAAATGATTTAAAACCCTGTTTCAATAATTATGAAGATATTATTACCTTATCCCGTACATGGAACATTTTTTAGACATCTTGATAAAGGAGTAGTAGAAGAGAAATTAATCAATAGCTGGCTTAGCTTCATAATTCTAAGATATTTTACTTAACTTTCATAGTTTCTGTTTATGGGCACTATTTAAGGTCAGATTTAAGCTACTATGCAAGAGATCTGGTGCCTTATTTTAAAGTCCGAAGCATTTCTGATGGGATTGGATTAGTAGTAAGAGTCAATAATTAAATTTCGGGTAATTGTTTCTTGTAAGTTGCACTCTAGTAAGTTACGTCCAGGAATTTGTAGTTTAGTAATTGTTATTTGAATTGCCTAAGTAGAGATGTAATCTGAAAGATCTTAGCTTACATTTTGAAAGATAAACCTAAGCCTCTGTATGGCAGCACCTGCAGGTGTTCTTTTATCCAACGGTAGCAATAGACATTTGATAATCATGGTCAGGGACAAAAATGTGTGTTATCTTAAACATAGTTACCCTCGTGTTAGCTTAAGCTCCAACACATTAAGCTTAACAAATAGCAGAGGTCATGGCTAGGCTACCACAGAAAAAAATGGTACCAAGCAGTACAAATGAAATATGAATTTCAGAGAAACATACAGGTTGGTGATCATTAACAAATATGACAACAAGGAAAGGTGATTAAAATTATAATTAGGGAACCCCCCCAAAAAAATATATATATATTAATACAAAATTCACCATCCGAAACAGCAGTTATGGGTAGAAAATCCCACGCCGTTTCCATCATCTAAGTCACAAAAGAAAAATAACTAGGATAACATGGAACAAACAAGCAACCTTAAAAAAAATCACAAAAAAGGAAGAAGAAGCTGAATGGGTGATGTAGGTCAACAGCAACAAGTAACTAACAAACACCCAGGGAAGGATTTGTAGTTAAAAAAAATGGAAAAAAAAAAAAAAAAAGTAACGGAAAAAAGGGTTAGAAGAGGAAGGTGATAGGTGAGAAACTGACCAACGACAGTGGATCCTGAAGAGCCAAGCGTCATGGATGAATAACAGATATTTTGGTGCGGAAAGTTTTGTGGGTGTGATAAATAAAAGTATGGAGATGTTTGAGTGATGAAGAAAGATATATTATATAGACAGAAGAATGACAGAGCACAAAGGAGAATTGGGGTTAAGCAAAGGCGGGCAATGACGAAGAAAAGGAGCACAACAGCGATATGGGTAATACCGTAATCACACTTTCTTCCATCGCGGAACCCTTTTGCATTCGGCTTTTTTCACTTAAAAGCAGTTTTTTTAAAAAAACAAAATTGCTTTTTATTTAAATTATGCATTTCATTGGAACTTTAGAAAAATAAAATAATAATAATGCATCTTGCGGTGTGTATGATAATATTTCTAAAAATATTTTTTTCTTTATTTTAATCTGAAGTGATTAATAATTATATTTGATAAAATTAATTTATTTTTCTGTTCTTAAGAATGAACAGGTAATCTATAAACAAAAAAAATAAAACAAGTTTCTTCAATATCGGGCACAAAATAGAAAAACAAAATGTTTGCAAAGTTAAAGATAGAAAATAGAATAGTTGTCTTCCATACTTTTCAAGTCCTTAAATTTTATTTAATATTTGATTTTTTTTGGTGTATAAAAAAGAAATTAATCATTATTTAAATTTAATATTTTAAATTAACAGGGATTCTGAAATATTTTAAGTCGCCACTTTAGTTCTCCGTTAAAATAGATGTGGTGACGATTTAAATTTTTTCAGACCTAATTTGACAGCAATTTTTTTATAAAACTAATATGGTAACCCTAATCTTGACAATACTGATTTAGGAAATTACTTAAAAATAATAAGCCAGCACTAAAATTTTATCTATTTATTTATAAAAAAATCTGTGTCATTGTACACCTTGGCCATTGACGTGATTCCAAGTCGTTATAAGGAGTAGTGCGGGAGCTCAATTATGGTGGGCTTGGAGTTCATAGTCCTTAGACTAAAAAAAAAAAAAAGAGTGAGATGGAATTTGACTAAAAGAGAGGGATTTAAATAAAATTTTATTTTTCTTTTTTGGAAAAGGTGCACACAAAGGACTGTCGGGTCTATATTAAAAAAATCCGTAGTGCAGAGGGTCAAATACACTAGGGTGTTTCAACATCATTTTGCGATACTACCGTGATGCTGGTAATCACCACATCTAGTTGATGATGCACATTTTTATTCCTGTTTAGGCCTTTCAATGTGGTTTTCTAACTCGATTTTTTTTTGGCTCTGCATGTATACTATTTTTTGAAAAAAATTGTCCCTTTCATAAGGAATGATCTCACCTAATAGGTCAAGATAATAAGTAAAGATTTATTAATGGTTTTATATATATTTTTTAATACATCATTTAATGTAAGAGCTTTTTTTTTTCCTTTGAAGAGTGAATATTGCATAGATCTATTTTTTTGTTTTACCTTATACTGATTTACTTCCACTAAAAAGTGAGGACGATAAGGATAAAATTTGTAGCTACGTAGACTTTGATAACATAATAAGAATTATTTTTACTTAAAAACTTAGGCTATTTGACCATTTTGTCCCTCATTAATTAATTAATAATCATTTTGCCCCTGATTCGAAACTATCTACCAATCTGCCCATATTTAATCGACTAAATGGTTGTTGGGAGATTTAATCGACTAAGTCTCCCTACTTAATCGATTAAAAAATCGTACTGACTTGTTTTCCTTTGTTGTCTGTTGGGAGATTTAGTCGATTAAATAAGGTGATTTAGTCGATTAAATCTCCCAATAGTCATTTTTGCATGTTTTGACCATTTAATCGACTAAAAATGCAAGGTAATCGATTAAAGATGGACAGATTGGTAGATAGTTTCGAATCAGGGGCAAAATGGTTATTAATTAATTAATAAGGAGCAAAAGAGTGAAAAAGCCTAAAAACTTAAGTTGTGAAGTAAAGATGCATCAATAATTTTATGTTATATCTCTTTAACACCCTTAAATAAAAAATACTAAGAGATAGTCCCAATTTTCCGTTCGCCCCATCCTTTGTTCCTATTGCGCGTCTAATTATTTTGCCACTTTCTAGTTGAAGTGACCCTGAAAAATACTTTTCCTTAAGATATTTGTATAAATGGACGCTAGATGCTTCACTTTAGTTCAATAAGATTCTAAGTGGGCAATGGTTGGCTTTAATTTGGCCTTGGTGAAGGGATTGAAGGGAAATATATGCTTTTCAGTTTTATTGCTTATTTTTTTAAAAAAATAATAAATTAAGAGTGATGTTGACATATTTTATTCACATTGTTTCACTTGTATAGAGAGCACCTGCTGGTGGACTTGGTTCACTTTCTGTCAACAACTATGCTGTTTGATTTCATTCCTTCGTTTTGTCATTTTTAAAGAATGGTGTATTCTTGACAGAGGCGGATGGAAGTGAATGAGAAAAGGTTAAATGCCCACCCTTGAAATATGATATAAAAATATTATTTTCTTAAAATTCAAATTTTTTTAATTTAATTTCGGAATAGGATATTATAACCAATGTTATTAAAATCGGCTCGGTTATTGACTCGGTCGAGGTATCGGATCACTGGGTCACTGGTTCAACCGCATGACCCGGTAATTATATGCAATTTTATAATTTATATTAAAAAATTATAAACATACTCAAATATCTAAAAAAAGTTAATAAAAATTTCAGATATTTTAATACAAAAAATAATAAATCACACATTATTATCAAATAAAAAATCAAAAAAAAATATAATGATCGTGATACGAGGCTTTAGGTTCAGAAAACGACATCTCTAACTATAAATTAATTCAAACTTTTATACATAGTACATAATTGAGATAATATTAGTGTTGTAGGTACATAACTTATGTAAATCAATAAGAAAAAAAAAATCAAATATGACTATTATGATTTTTTTGAAAAAAAATAAAAATTTGGAATTTTTTTTTGGGACCGGGTCGCACCGGTTCTGATGCATGGCCGGTCCGTTGCTTCAACCAGACCGGTTTACTGGTTCCCGGGTCGGTCCGGTTTTAATAACTATGATTATAACAATTAATTGGGGTTACAACCAATGTTATTACCAATCAATTTCACCGTTAGATCGATTATGTGGATCCAACGGTTATATTTATTTTCATCTTTATATGATTATGATTCTCCATATTTAATACTTTATATTTATTTTCACCTTTGTATGGTTATGATTTCTCATATTTAATGCTTTTACATTAAATACGGGGATCATAACCAGATAGAAATAAATATAACCATTGGATCAACATAATCTATCTAACGGTAAAATTGATTGGTAGTAACCTTAATTGGTTGTTACGATATCCTGCCCCTTTAATTTTCCTTATTCTCTTTTATTTTCTCGTGAGTTTTTTTTCTTCTTCACCTTCATTATCTAAACCTAAAAGCAGAGCTCTGTTCTAGACCCATTATTCGCATATACATACTGGTTCATCTCCTCTCAAACCTCAATCTCCGTTATTGGAAGTTGGAACATTTGCTTCTTCCTCCATCATCGGTCCAGTTGAGTCACAATACGTCCAGATCTAGATCTAAACCAAACCCAATCAGCCGACAGCGGCTTGCAAGTCACATTCCAGACTAGACCTAGATCTATATGTACCTGAACTTGTTGAGTGCCCACCCTTCGTTAATTTTCTGGATCCGCTGCTTATTCTTGAGTTTACATCTGCTGAGACTTTGAAAATTTCCTTGATGGTTATTTTCTGAGAATGTTATTTGATTTCTTCCTTCGTTTTGTCACACAGATTTCGTTCTATAAATTCATATTTCTCTTTGGGTAATCTTGCAGATGTCACTTTATCTTGGTAACGTATATTTCAAGACTATATCAGGAGCAAGACTCTTGGCATCACCTTCATCAACCCCACGCAGAGCATCATCACAGCCACTTCTGAAATTACCACTCCTTTTATCTCTACTACAGCAATTTTTGAGGACCCTGCAGCAACTTAATCACACCTTATTTATCTCAACTCTCTGATTCTGTTACCAGTTATCACAATTCCTCGTCACCACTAATAACTGAATGTGCACAGGTAATTATGCAAATCATTCAATAATTCATAATGCATTTCCTACTCGTGGCTCCACTCTCTCGACTATTTTAATAATTACATATAAAAATGGAGGTAAGCTGTACAAATTCTGGATTGACAGGAAATGCAGTGTGTCTTTTCTATTTGTTCTTATTGTGTTCTATGTTTGCTTTCAAGAGGCTGTTTGATACTCGTGAAATTTATTTTACCAGGAATACATAGGGAAAGTGAGTTAGGTAAAAAAAATTGTTTGGCTGGACAAAATATTATCGAAAAAATTAGATAAAATTTTCTGAATCTATGTTTAGTTGAAGATAAAATATTTATGAAAAACCAGCTTGAAATTACAGGTTACAAAGAATAGTTTTAGCAGTTACCATATCCAATTTTTATCAGTTAGCTAGTCATCTGTGAAATATCACAGTTAAAATAGGATTTGAGCACCGTTTTTTTGATCCAATTTTGCATACAAAGTTGAATGACTGGGCAAATATATAAAAAAAAGTAGAGTGAAATTTTTAGGGAAAATGTCTGATCCAATTTTTATCAAAGTCCAATTTTGCTCCTGTGAAAAATTTGTACGGACATGAATGAAAATATATAAAAAAAAGTAGAGTGAAATTTTTTTTCCCCACATTTGGACGGACCACCGTAACTTTACTACCGCAAATAACCATGCTTCACTAGCATTTCCATGGCCAGAACAAAATAATGATAAATTATTACTACTAAATACTCCCCACTTCTTGAATAATCAGATTCTTCAAAATAAAAATGTGTGACCTAAACATATCATTAATAATGAATTGAAGTTATTTAAAAAATTATCCCTTTTGAATTGATCTTATATGGATTAAATTACGAGGAAAATGTTTCTGCAGTTAATGCAGATAAGTTATCTGTATTTATTCTCAAAACAATGTCGTTTTAGTATTGAAATCTTAAAAAATTATAAATATAAAGATTATTATAAACTTGAAATAAATTATAATTATAAAATATCATGATTTCTGCCTCAAAATGACGTCATATTAGCCTTATAGCAGATAACTTATTTGCAGTAACAGCAGAAAAAACGAACCGTTAAATTATTAGGATTAGTGACATCTCATTTTGTTTTTTTTTAAGCTTTATAATATGT